CGTTTTGAAACTTAATTTTTTTTTAAAAAAAGTATATGCAAAGCGTATTTTTATCAGCACTTCTACCCGCCATAGTTTTCTTCGAAGCACTTTTTCTTCCGGTTATAAAGACCCCATGGATCAGTGAGCCCTTAAGCCCTCTTAAAAATTTTAGTGTGTAATTTTATTTATTTATTATTTATTTTTAACCTCTATCTAATTACTTATAAATTTCTTATCTCTTCCTTTCCAGTATCCCTTGCTCCGCAATAAAAAAAGCAAAGAAACAAATAACAGGGTCTCTACAGCGCAGAGGGAGACGCGACTACCTGACTTAAATGAAGTAGCAGGCGGCAAGCGAGCAGCCCTGGAGACGAGTTCAACCTACTTGGAAGGAACTTCGAAGGCTGGGTGAGCCTTTTGGCGGATTTAAACCCGTTTTTTGCCACTAAAACAACTGCAACATGAATCCGCATTTTGAGAAAGTAGGACAGGAATTTGTGAAAGCTTACTATGGAATGTTCGACTCAAACCGGGCAAGTTTAGCGGCCTTATACGTGAGTTTTTCCCTATTCTGTTTGAACATAGAGTTGAAGCTTACTGTGAGGTTAAGTCTCAAGCTTGTTTCTTATTTGGAATGCCATAAAAATATAGTGTTTATCAGGTTTCTGTATATCTGTAACGCAGCTTTAAGTGTTTGGGTTTACCGAAACAGCTGTCTTTTAAAGTTTTAAGTTCATATGCTATGTTGATCTTCAGTGTTATAATTCCCTCGGGGGGAGGTGGAGAGGGTACTTTGGGTGTAGGTGAGCCGCCAAGGTCTCCAACCTCTGACCCTGTTTAAGACAAAATCTGTTCATTTTTCTACCCTGCTTAAGACAACAGACTGTTTTTCATAACCCTGTTAAGACTGCAGCCTAAATGCCCTGTTTAAGGAGATACAGTCAAACCTCTTTACAGGGCTCGAAATTGCAAATGATACGGTCGCCAATGCGACTAACATTTTCTCCTTGGCGACTTAAAATTCTAGTTTAGACGCCAAAGTGGCGACCAGATTTCTCTATGATTTAGATTTAAATTAAAAGAGTAAAAGTTAAAACAAACATTTCATCTTATCCTGGTTTTCTTTCATCATAAAAAATGTGCCAAATCGCATAAACAAGGCCAGTTTACCTCCAAATTTATACCGACTCCTATCCACAATATTTTGAAATCTGATGGATCAAGTCAAATTTCACGGGACTTGTAGGGGCAAATTTGCTGAAAAATCAACTGATTTCACAGGAATTTTCGGGGCAAACTTAGCTGAAAATCAATTGCTCAAAAAAGGCCGATTTTGTGTTTATTTTTCAGGGAAAACTAGGTTAGGGGTCGATCGGTTTTGCGCTGACCAGACCAGCATTTTTAATGTTTTTCTAACAGAGGTGATCATTTGCTCTTTCAACAACAATACGCTCCAGAACTGAACCAATGGCAAAGCCTTTAACATCATGGTTAGTGCCCAGTTTTTTGCAGCATAATCGACGCCTGGTAGTTTCGGAGTTTCTGGACGATAAATTTATAAGTTTACGGCAAGTAAATAGCCCCAATAGCTGAGAAAAATTTCAATTATGTTGTACAGACATGTATTTGATAAGATTTCTACCGCATTTCGTGGTATTTTGCGTGTTTTTGTGAATTTCACAGCTCTGCGACGGTGGGAAATATCAGAAGCCCTGACTTTGAGTTGCGTCATTTACATTATACAAACTGGAGACTAAAAATTTTCATCTGGCGACTATATTTCTCCAGTTGGTCGCCAAAAGGCGACCTGAGGATTTTTTTAATTTCGAGCCTTGCTTTAATTTGGACACCGAAGGGACAGAACCAATTGTCCGCTTTACAGAGGTGTCCATATTATAGAGGTAGGGAATGTATAATTTTTGCCATTTCTGGGACCAAACAAACTGTCCGTAATAAAGAGGTGTCCTTATTATAGAGGTGTCTGTAAGGAGAGGTTAGACTGTATTTTCTTTTTAGATAGTATAAAATACATTACAAAATGGGGAAAAAATATATTATATATTTATTTAATTTGTTTTGGGGTCACATACAAAAAGATCTTTTTGAGATTACTGACAGAACAAAATTAGATTATTTTTAAAAACATTACACATGTAGACCACAGACCGCCAAAAAATTTCAAACCCTCTTTAACCCTTTGACTGTTTGGAGAGCTGTTTGCCTTTAGCAGTCTCTTACAGTTGACACTGTACATCTTGTGGCCACCGAAGCGCCCGCTTGCTCTCTTTCTTAGCTATTTTCTTGACCACCACACCATGTATCTACATGCTCGAGCTCTGTTGCCAGTATCTTCATCCATTTAAAGGTCAAATGAACCAAAAATTCGACATTTTTTATTTTAGTTCAATTCTAGTGAAATGTGTTTAACATGAACCTAATAAACATACTATGAAGTTTCAGCTCAATTGAAGCAAGCATCTCCAAGATATTCGTAATTAAAAATTGTTATTTTTTGGCCCTTATCTTCGTAGAGCGGTCGGAAAAATTGTCAGTAAAAACAGCTTGTGACGTCAATGTTGGTCAGGTGAAAAAAGCGGGAAATTCAAAACAGTGTTTTTTCGAGTCGACTTGGCGCAGAAATTGTGGTGGTTTGTGCGGCCATAAACCTAGAAAGAACAAGCAATTTGTCTTCAAAAGTTGCAAGCTGTGGTTATAACCTTATTATTTAATTTTCTCGAAGAATACATCATAGTAAAACGGACTTTAATGACAGCATTAATTTTCTTGCGCTGTACTGGAAATGTGCTTGCATAGGTCCAATTTTTTTAAGATCTGTATTCACAAAATTTGTTCCTTTGAGGAAGTTTCTGGATATATAAGGTCCGGAGCTCCACTGTGGACACAAAAACAAAATATCTTTGTATAGTGATTTGCCCAAAGAAATTCGCGCTTGCCCACAATGTGTTTGAAGTCATTGAACTTTGTCACACTCGAGCTGATATTTTAAAACCCACGCTCGATAGGACACTAGTGCTTCGCAGAACACTAAAATATAAACAAAATCCTCAATGTAGAAGTTTTGGCGTTGATATGTGGTCAGAAAAAGAGTTAATCTTNACTTGGCGCAGAAATTGTGGTGGTTTGTGCGGCCATAAACCTAGAAAGAACAAGCAATTTGTCTTCAAAAGTTGCAAGCTGTGGTTATAACCTTATTATTTAATTTTCTCGAAGAATACATCATAGTAAAACGGACTTTAATGACAGCATTAATTTTCTTGCGCTGTACTGGAAATGTGCTTGCATAGGTCCAATTTTTTTAAGATCTGTATTCACAAAATTTGTTCCTTTGAGGAAGTTTCTGGATATATAAGGTCCGGAGCTCCACTGTGGACACAAAAACAAAATATCTTTGTATAGTGATTTGCCCAAAGAAATTCGCGCTTGCCCACAATGTGTTTGAAGTCATTGAACTTTGTCACACTCGAGCTGATATTTTAAAACCCACGCTCGATAGGACACTAGTGCTTCGCAGAACACTAAAATATAAACAAAATCCTCAATGTAGAAGTTTTGGCGTTGATATGTGGTCAGAAAAAGAGTTAATCTTTATCTAGTAAAATCTTCCCCAAAATCGGTTTCAAAGCAACCAGTACAGTTTTTTAAACTTGATCGTTTCGCACAGATAAAGTTTTGCTTTGTGTTGTCAACTTGGACATGCATAACACCTGTCAAAAACCAAGTAAGATTTCCTTCAAACAAAGTTGAAGTTACATTATTGCGAAAACTTCTTTCCAGTTATGTATATGATTTAATTACTGACTGAGGTCACTTTAAGGACTGTAGACGCCACTTTAAGCTCGCAAAGAGAGGCGACAAGCAAAGAACAATTCCATCATGCATAAAATTCAGCTTAAGTGAACTAAAAAAAGCTTCAAGAAGGTTGCAAAACAACAAATTGCCATTAAAAAAACATAAGGCTTAAGGCTCTTATACCCGCTGACAATGAAGAAGTGAATTTTCTGTGCGAAATAACCTGCCTAAAGATCTCTTAAAAGCAAAAGATCAGTTGCAAGCTTCGCACCCAAGCCATGATTCATCATTTAGCTATTTTTAAAAACTGGTCCATGCGAGGGTCTTCATTCAAGCAAATTAAACTCAGCAAAGTGAATAATTAGAAAGTACAGAAAACTGCACGTAAGGGTTTGTTTTGCTTGCTTCAGTCAAATCCAGCTCCAGCAATTATTTACGGGCAAAGAGTCAATTGTTTTGAAGTCACTGCCGGCAGTTGTCATTCTCAGCTACTTCACAGCGAGTGAAAAGGAAAATTTGTGAACAGAAAGGAAACAAAACTACGTAATAAAAAATGAAAAAAGAAAAAAAAAATCTGACTTTTATTACTTGAGCAACAGAAAAGGGATCGAAATAGTCTGTTCTTCTCCAATAAGCTTGCTAGCCTTCTATAGTTCCGAGGAAGTTTTAAGCGTCCAAGTTTGTTCACTCGCAAGCATTAGCATTACAGTTATGAATCCGAAGTAATTTTGAAGTGACGATAAAACAACAACAACAACAAAAACCAAAAAAAAGCCTTTACAAGGAGCAAATATTCATTCAGTCTCAGTCAGAACTCTCACAGAATGAGACAAACAAACACGGGCAATAAGGGATTCACAGAAGCTTGCGCAGAACGTTTTTCCGCCCTGAAAGACCAACATTGACGTCACATAGTCTCCAGTCTATCACGCGGCCATTTCAGAAACATTTTCGTGAAGTCTTCGGAAATGCTCGGATTTTGATCTTTTATCTTTCTATAAAGGCTTGGGAAGAAAAATCTTTACCCAAATCTCACTTAGGATGTTCCTTTTTAGTGTTTGGTGAAGGTAAAGCGACAAAAGAAAATATTTCAATTTTTTGGTTCATTTGACCTTTAATAGGACTAATCTTCACCTAACCTGAATCATTGCTAAAATCTGGTGCTGCGAATATAGTTCGATCAACCCCATTCGTGTCTGGTGCCATTTTTAAAGGTTATCATTAGCACAATGAGGAAATATTGCCAAAACGTTAGCCCTAAAGGGTGGAAAACTGACTGACATTGAATCATACAATAAACTACCTCATATAAGCAACATAAAGTGTCATTTGACAAAATATGGAGCCTTTCGGAGCCTTTTTTGGGACAAAATGTACACCTCATTTGGAAGTGCCTTAAAAACGCTCTCAGGAGTCAAAGAGTTAAGGCTTTGGGTCTAAAAAGACACCCTCTTCAAGATGCTCAATAGTGAAATTATATACCCTGTTTAAGACTCAAGACCTTGTCAGCAGCACATACCCATATAGGCCAAATAAGGGAGTGCCCACCCCCCCCGGGTTATAATCATGCTATGCACATGTCATCAGCTTCCCCCAGGGGTAGGATCCCCTACAACCCCGGGCCAACCAGGGGTATTGTAAAATGGGTAGAACACAGTTGACAATTTCCCCCAGGGGTTCGAAAGTTTACAAGACAAAGTCCCATGGGTCTAGTGCTTCTCAATGAAAAATCCTCCAGACATCCTTCTCATATGACTGGAATTCATTTGATTGAGGAGTCTGGGCTACTGTTGCTGGGCTACTGCTGCTGTTTTCCCATGATAATGCAGATGTGTTTGTCTTCCTTTTAAAGACGGATGTGTCCATGCTAACTTTTGAGGGTCAACAGTTCCAAGGAACTCAGGCCATCGTGAAAAAGATCACAGTGAGTTTTATTTTGGTTATTTCATGTTTTGGCACTATTTCAAATAGCCTGTAAAGGAGGTGTTTTTTGTTTTTGGTTCATGATGTAAAAGATAAACGGCTGTGAACCAAAGTCAAACAAAAAACGAGAGATTACAGGGTGAGAGGATGAAGGCAGTGGAACAACCACAGGCATTCAACTGTGTGAGTTTTTTGAAACTTTGTTTGCCACTAGAATAGAGGAGACGTCATTCCTGATCATGTTTAATCTCCATAAAACGGAGACTGTAGTCTGGCTAAGACTGATGTCTGGAATCTTGGTCAATCTTGAGTCATGTTTAGTACAGTGAATGAGCCAACAGGTGAGAGAGAAAAATTACCAGTTGCCCAGCCGAGCACTTTTGCTTGTAGTATAGTAAGCACCAAAGCAGGGAAAATATTCTACCATGCTGGTGTTGGATTGTTGCATCACAGTTTACAAAGTAAACAAAATAGTATTAGCTTTTATATGGAACCACAAACCACCTAAGATAAAATTCTGAAAAAAAAAAAAAATAAATAAATAAATAAATAAAATAAATAAATAAATAAAATAAAAAATTCTGAATGCTCAATAAAACAAGGCAAGAGGAAGGTTTAGAGATGAAAGACTTTTCTCTATTTAACCATGCTTTAAAATGAAATTGGGTCAAGCAACTTTGCTCAAACTCAAGCGCTCCGTGGAAGTACAGTCAACTCTCTCTTAACAGACACCTCTATAAGACAGACACCTCTGTAAAACAGACACTTAGAGTTGGTCCCTGCCTTTCTTTGCTCCCTTTATTTGACTTTCTATAAGATGGACACCTCCCTAAGACAGACACTTACTGCCGGTTTTGGTTGTCTCGGATCTCTGATTTTGTCATTTACATGTAATTTCTTTGCTTACTTTAAGTTCCATAGCAGTTGAGGGCGAGTAATTGGCAAAATGAAACAAAATGAACTGGACTGACGTGACACAGCCCCTTTAAGGCTGCAATCTTTTGCTTTTTCTTACTGGTAGTTTTTTTTAAGGTACTTTACACAGTTGTTACAGCCCTTAACCATCAAACAAAACATGTTTTTGCTGTTAAGTCCCTTGTCCCCGCCTCACTGATACAGCTGCATTTTATTTTTTTTTCCAGGAATTACCATTCAAAGTGGTTCAACATATTATTACCACAGTGGATTGCCAGCCAAGTGGGGAAAACGGTGTTTTAGTTTTTGTGGTTGGGCAACTTAAGGTACTGAACAGTTATGTGTGTACAGCCCCTGTTGTTTTTAGGGAGTTTTATGGTTTTAGAAATATGATCTGTAGGTCAGTTTCTGCCAATTCTTATCAGGATTCAAGAAGGAGTCAGGAAAAACCTGGAAAGTCATGAAATTTAGCAATTTCTTTTTCCAGGCCTGGATAGTTCGGGAATTAAATTGCCCATCCTGAAAAAATCATGGATTATAATTAGAATAATGTTATGTGTGGCATATTAAGTACTGCAGGTGTCAAAGCAAGGACAATGTATGGTAAAACTATAAAAGGATGTGGAAAAATCATGGAATTTCAAGAGCTCAAGAGAGTATAATAATAATAATTTAATGAATTTGTATAGCGCTAATACTACATGTATAAACAATATTCAAAAGTACTGTACATTACGTTACAATTAAAAAATACTTAAATCTAAAAAAACGATTCTAAAGTTCTCTACTTTAAATTAGAATTAAAATATTCAAAAGTGCTAAACTTTCAGAACTATTCCAACAAAATGAAAGCTTTCCTAAAAAGAAATGTTTGAATTTGCTTCTTTAAAAATGGCAAAGCTGCTTCTAGTTCTAATAGTTGATGGCAGAAAGTTCCATAAAACAGGTGCAGCATGAGCAAAGGCATGATTCCCAAGTGTAGAGCAGTTGCCTTTTGGAGCGAAGAGAAGAGATTGGGAAGTCGACAAAAGGGCATAAGTTGAACCCAGTATTATGCTTTAAGAGTGAGTCTCCAAACTGTAATCTCATGACCACTAATGCCAGCTCATGCTTGCATGGAAATTTCTCACCTTGGTAGAAACGTTGGACCAATCACAAGAATGTGCTATATATCAGTTTTGAAACTTTAATCTAACAAGAAAATGGCACAAATGAATTCATTCAAGAAAAAAGTATAATTATATGAATGATCATAATTTTCCTAGTATCTATGATTTTAGAGACTCCTTATGGGGCAAAAATTAATAATTTTCTTGAGAACTTTGCAACTCTTCAGAACATCTTCTGATATCTTTATAATTTTTTTCAAGTCCTCTACTAAAATTCCTGGCTCTCTCAGGATTAAAATCCTTTGCCTCCAGCTACACTGTTACATTGTTACCACAAACAAGAAATTTGTTTCACCTAGCTAAGTTACCTGATAAAACGTCATCAGTCATGTCATTTGCCTTAATATGAATCATTTTCAGTCATGTCATTTGCCTAAATTTGAATCATTTTCAGTTTCTGACTTGATCAAATATATGACGTTACTAACCTGTACTAAAGAGGCTCGAAACAAGCCCCTTCCGGTAGTCCAGGACGAATAGATTTTCTTGCTGGGCAAGTAACTTTTAAATCTTACTTGGTCAGTGCCCAGTACTAAGTCATGGTTAATACAATCTTGAAAAGGTCTTGAATTTTGGTAGTCGTCTTGAAAAGTCCTTGAATTCGGTTAAGGTCCTTGAAAAGTACTTGATTTCTTTATTAGGTCTTGAAAAGTCCTTGAAATTCACTATCTAGTCTACACCAGACCCCATTTGCTGTAAAATGAGATTATTTTGCTTAGGAAAATTTTGCTCATCCTCTGTGTAAGAACCTGCAAGACTCATAGCTAAGGTAAAAATATTTTTTGTGCGTGAACAATATTTTATTTCTGTTTCTTTATTGAGCCATTTTGAACTATTCTGAAAAACTAGGGATACTCTGGATTTCAAGTGACAAGGATGATCGAATGGGGGCAGAAATCAAAACCAAAAAAAAATCCCTGGACCTAAAATTAACCCCCCCAAAAATCCCATGCCGAATTTCCAAAACTTAAAAATTTCCAGGAAGCAAAACAGGTTTGGTTGGATACTTTATTGGCTGGGATATGCGCAGGCACTACCACAAATCTTCAGATTGTTTTGAATACCCCAAAAAATACCTGCCAAATTGTCCCACCCAAAAAATTCCTCTGATCATCCCTGTCACTTGAAATTCAGAGTACCCCCCTTGGGACAAATGAAAGGGCTCACAGTTGCTTATCAACCTGTTGCTCTTTTTTGTTTTGTTTTGTTTTTTGTTTTTTTTTCCACAGACGGATAATGACCCTCCACATAGCTTCAGTCAAACATTTCAGCTTTTTAAAAAAGATATGAACAACTACTTTGTCCTAAATGACATGTTTCGACTATCTCTTCATCACGGATGAACAAGCAATGCACAGAAATATGGAGGACACTTTGTGTACGAACAGGAGAGGCAAATGTGATTGTTGTTTTAGAAC